TAAAAGGCTAACACCCCCATCAACGCAATTTAAATCGTAATAATAATCATGATTAATAATCAATAATTAATAATATTCGCATATATATAGAGCACATCCACTCTCTACGTGATGCTCTATGCGTTTGAAACTTATTATAGTGCAGTCAAAAATTCGAGGCGCAACTAATTCTCAAATATCTTTTTTAACGGGAGAATCAATGTCACTCACATTTTGCACAGCAGTTGGTATTGATTTGTCTTAAATTAATCATATTTTTCAACAACAATTGAGGCTTTATTAAAAAAACAACTTTTCTTCATAAATTTATATAAAATACTACAAATCTCATTCACGCGGAATATGGAATTGTTCACAGCACTTCCCGCTCCTCACACACATCTTGCGCACACATATGACCTACGTCACAGCTCATCAATGACAATTTTTAAGTGGCATAACTAGCAATAAACAATGTAATTTTATAGTGAACACTTTTTTGCACTTAAATTGTTCAAAACAAGCGTTTAATAAAGATATTCTCGCAATAAGTAAAAAATCACGAACTACTTGGTTTTAAAAGCGATGTTGTCCCAGCTGTAAACCTTCTAAAATCCATGAAAACCACCCACTGGGATTTTTTAATTAAGGAATTTCTAGAATAAAGCTAACAGGTGTTTACAAAAATATTGATCTGTTAAGCCAAATTGATACAAGTAATTGTGTAAAAGCTGGAAAGTTTATGTTCTATAGTTGAGGAGGCATTTGACAATAAGTTGGGCCACGAATTTGTGACCGCGCTATACTCGTAATGTTACGTCATCAGACCCTAGGACGCTCAGAAAATAATATTCTAGGCTTATTTTTTGTGCGCTTTTACTTCTTTTATTCTTGAACTGTCCCAGCCCTGCTTCACAGTCAAACCACAGAGTCCGGGACATTCACGGGCCAGGCAGGGAAGAGGTGAAGTTGGCGGGACAAAAACACTTGCCATGTTGGGGGTGGGGAGGAATAGACTGGCAGAGAGAAACAAGGAACAAACTAACTGTGCTGAAAGCGTCGTTATAGGGGGTGCCCATGGGTGCGATCGGGTCGGGTTGTGTAAGGTCGGGTCGGATCCGATCGGGTCGGGTCGTTTGTGGTGGCTTCAGTGCACTCTACAAAAGTAACCCGACGACCTGGAAGTTAAAGTAGAGAAACCTTTGACCTTAATGCCTTCCAGGGCTCCTTTCCACAGTTCCCTGATCCTATAAACATGGTTACAATAGTTACATCGAGAACGTTCTATTACCTTCTCCAGGTCAATGGACTCTATTGTTGATGGTATGTCGCGCGGAAATGTCTAACCTTGACATCGCTGTGTCAACATGGACACGTGACTCGTAGGTCACAAAGCCTTGTTGTGATTGGCTGACAACCACCCGATCGCTCGACTCGCGGCCTTGAAAACAAACCTGTTTATAGTTTTTGAAGGTCACCGACCGCGTCGATCGGTTTGTGCCACAATGGCCGCTTTTCGCCCTCAATTTTCCTAGCCCCGACTGCCAAATCGACCGGACCCGACCAGATCCAATCGCGTTAATGGGCACCCCCTATTTAACTTATACTAAAGCTCTCCCCGTGGTTTTAGGCACCCCGTATAATGTAGCAGAATTTGACAATTTTTTGCTCATTTTCTGATTATTTTCCTTCATCATTCTTTGTTAAAATTAACAGAATCGCATAATTTCACATTTTTGGGCCCAGTTTGCATAATTTTAGAAATTGTTTTGGCATGAAACTGCTGGGACAGCTAAAGGAATGAGTAGACAAATGTTACGTTGACACACAGAAGTAACGACCGACACACTTGGGGAGGACAGAAAAGTGTCAAGGAAAAATATTTTTAAAATGTATGAATCGTCAGTAAGCTGTTCAAATTTTCTAAACCCAGAGAACAAACTTGTTTTTTTCATGAGAGAGGGTAAAACTGTTAGACTCTGCCAACAGTTGTACTTACATAATGTGTCTTTTATTGCTTTTTAAAAAAATATTTAGAATTAAATTGGATTACGACCAAACTTTTCTCAAGCAGTTGCAACCGATACCCCGGATAATTTATTTTTTTAGAGTAAAAAAGGCTTGTCGACAAAACTAAAAGAAAGAAAAGGAGGGACTAGAAGGAAAAAACCAAAACCCAACAAACAAACGAAACAGCCAGTGCCGACAGTAGGTGAGAATACAGTAGGTGAGAATACAGCAGGTGAGAATACAGCAGGTGAGAATACAGTCGGTGAGAATACAGTAGGTGAGAATACAGCAGGTGAGAATACAGTAGGTGAGAATACAGCAGGTGAGAATACAGCAGGTGAGAATACAACAGGTGAGAATACAGTCGGTGAGAATACAGTCGGTGAGAATACAGCAGGTGAGAATACAGTCGGTGAGAATACAGTCGGTGAGAATACAGTCGGTGAGAATACAGCAGGTGAGAATACAGTCGGTGAGAATACAGTCGGTGAGAATACAGTCGGTGAGAATACAGCAGG